ACTGTTTTAGAACAATGTAGGGATGTAGGTCCAGATGCCACCGTGATATACATAAATTCTGGACATTAATGAGAACCCCATTCACCAGAACTCTTGTTTGTAATGTAACTGTGTGAAAAATCCTAACAGCTGATGTTGATGTTGTAAAGCCTTGTCATCTTACAGGTGTAACAGTAGTATGAAGATATTAAGTATCACTTCATGTATTTGTGACAACAGACCTATTATGTTTAAGAAGGAGAGAAAAGTGAACCTAGAAAAAAAATATAATCAGAAAAAAATCAGAATCTTGGCCTTTACAGGGGCACATGAAAATGTGAAAGTTTTATTTTTCATACGGAATTAGAAAGCTTACCAGGCTTTGTGATATGAGCAGCTAAGATATAAATTACATATGTATACAACATGTTACATCAAATTGTAGCATTAACAGTGAGATGTATATAATACACTAGCAGTAAGTGTTATTGATTGACATTACAGCTGTGTGTCCACCACCCAATCTACTTTAAACAGATGCAAGAAATATCCTACAGCACTGTGTGATGTTACACAGAGAATTGTAGGGGGGAGACATCTTAACTCGATCTGAACTTGGGCAAGCGTTACAGCAAAGGAGAGGTGAAGGAGTCAAATAATCAGAAATATGTGAAACTTTTATTTTATTGGGATGAACCTTCTCTGTACTCCTCCCAGTGACTACTGGGAATTACCAGTAGTCATGCCTAGCTATATTTGGTTACAGCATCAGTCTAGAATTTGAAGGTCTCAAGTCTGAGTCCAGGCGTGACCGGTATGATTTCCACTTGTGTTAATGCTTACAGTATAATCTATGCTGACAAACACTTATTTAGTCAAAGATAATCATCTGTTATAAGTTAATGGTAACAGCCATGTTTATTATGTAGCAGAACAGGACTGGGTCAATCACTGGTGGAAGCTCAGGTAGCTGAATTGTTACAAGGTCTGTCTAGAGTTTGGAGGATCCCGGTTCAAATTCTGGTTTGGCCATGCATTTCACTTTCTTGTGAATGCCTTGCAAAAGTGATACCTGAACCGGGTTTTAAATAGTGTCGTCTTTAGGTGCGAAGACTAAGAAAAAAAGGGGCGAGAAATGAAACAGAACTTGACTGGGTCCATCGCTGGCCACTAGGTAGCTCAATTAGTAGAGAGCACCCATCTCGAGTTTGGAGGGTCCTGGGTTCAAGTCCTGGTCTGGTGTTGCATTTCTAATGCTACAATAATATTTTTTAAATGTTTGTATTAATAATTCAATTATCTACCTACAGTCAGTATTTTGTGTGTACCTCAATTCATTCAACTGCAGCGATAAACGTTGTGTATAAGTATGGCATGTTATGATTGTGAGTGGCCAGCAAGTTGGTGGCTGGTTAAAGGTGTTTCTACAAGTGAAGAACCACTAATATACCACATTAACCATATACTAAATAGTCCAAAGTCCTGGTTGAGATCTTCACTTGCAAATAGAATGTCTAAAAAAAAGATCTGTGTCTAGATCATTTTTAACTCGCCATTGGGCAGTCCTATTAAACCAATTTCAGGGTATATTTTTTTTTTATCTGTAATGGGCTAATGTAGCTTTTGGCTAAGTATAGTGTGTCCCTTGTCTACTGTCAGAACTGACCAATGCATGAGGCATTTAATATTGCCCCAGTGAGTCAAAAAGAGTCGGTCATTAACCATTAAACATCTGAGGTGTTCTGTATTGCTGCAGAGAGTTGGTGACACTTGTAATGGAATACACCATCAAAAATATCTGATGAAGTGTTTCCTGTTCGTAAAGTGATATTCCAACAAGGAGCCGGATTATTGTGTTTGTAGGTACTTTGTATATAATATCAGCTTGAACAATGACTAATTGAAGACGTTGAAACATCGTTGATAAATTACACTTGTACCTTGACCAGTCATATTGAGCTTGATACACTTGACCATCAGATGGACAGGTCCTGTTCCTGCTGTATAAAATTAATGCTGACCCAACATTTTAGGACTCAAATAAACTTGTCACGTTTCCAGAATATTGGTAAAATCATTCCACTGGTGTATAGCAGAGTGATGTATAAAAAAAGGAATGCAATTAATATAAACTATACTGGTGTGGTTATAATGGAAACAAATCAATTTACATATCAAGATATTCGAAAAGATCGTCAGGGGTCAGTTACGTGTTGCGGAATGTTTGTTTTATTTTCACGTCACGAGATATGATATCATTCTCCCTACAATCCTGTATTTGATAATTTTCTCGTTATTTAGTTTTCCTGTGCCAGTATGTTCTATAAAGGGAGTTCAGTAATCCTGTGCATGTTGGAAGTTGCATGCTGTTGTCAAATTTGGTTCTGTTGTGATTCTTATACAGTCGTAACATACTGAATCAATACCGTTGAAGACTTATGATCACGGAGACTGAGAATGGTAACAGAAGATGGATGTATTTTTCCTTTCCTTGTATGATAGCAAATTTGATGTATTCAATTAGCTTACACATGATATTATAGTCAGTAGCCATCCTCTCGCGAAACATTCTCATGGCTGGATCAATTACTCCGAGGAGATTAATTCAAATTGAAGTGCTAAGAGTCAAGGGAAACTATCAATTTTGTAAATATAGAAAAAAAAATACAATTATAAGAAATAAAACTTGCTTTGATGTTGGAAGATCTTTTGAAAACCAAAATCAATATCATGTTGTAGAATGCTGTCAAGCTGATCCATCAGACCCTCAAATGCTGGGATTTCAATCGCTCTCTGTCAATTTTCAAATTTCTGTGTAGACTTCGACTTTTTCTTGTCTTGTAAGATATAATTTCTGTATAACAGTATTACATTTAGTTTTGTGTGTGGGACCCAGAGGTTTTGTGAAATCTGAAACGCAAGTTTTCCTCGTTATGCCATGATGTCGAAGGTCATGGCCATGTCGGTTTTCTACCAAGGAGTGTAAATTGCCTATGACATGTGTGAGGTAAGATGGAAGTACCAGAGAGGGTGCACCCTGCTAGCGTTCAACTTTCCCTGGTTAAATTGAGATTGTGAATCGTGGAAATTCCCATGATTCTTTTCATTGTGACAATTTTAGTCCTAAGTCCTGAAATATAAACAGTAGAATGATTAACTATAGCAGTTTAAATATCAGAAAAAACAACTTCAATGATGTTAGAGGTTTCTGGATGAAGAACAGTTACATTTCGTGAATTGAATGAATATTTTGATACTCTTTTCTTTGTGCTGAGCACAAGTTAAAAACACGATAAATATTAAGCTAACAAGGTATGTAATACAGCAATACTTGTACTAAGGACAGTACTTACGCTGTAGTCTGTAATACAGCAATACTTGTACTAAGGATAGTACTTATGCTGTAGTCTGTAATACAGCAATACTTGTACTAAGGACAGTACTTAAGCTGTAGTCTGTAATACAGCAATACTTGTACTAAGGATAGTACTTACGCTGTAGTCTGTAATACAGCAATACTTGTACTAAGGACAGTACTTACGCTGTAGTCTGTAATACAGCAATATTTGTACTAAGGACAGTACTTACGCTGTAGTCTGTAATACAGCAATACTTGTACTGAGGACAGTACTTACACTGTAGTCTGTAATGCAGCAATACAAAAACACTTTCCAATAATAATTTGGAGCCTTTGGCAGTAGTACAGGGATCCTTATTAAGTTGAGCTGTACATGTGGTCTCTAGTATTATACCAGCTAGGGATGATTTCACAATCTGTTTCATCGGGGAAACACATTTTACTAAAAAAAAAAAATTAAAAATCCATTTCTTATCTTTTATCTGGCAATATTTGATGTTTATATGTAGTGTAGGACTTAAACTCAATAGTGGAGTTAGACATTGACAGACTCAGCTCCTATTGTTACACATCTGTATACAGCAGGAGGGAGGTGACAGACAGCTGACAGTCTGTTACTTCAGTAACAGCTTTCAACTTGTCTACTAAAAATAGTTTTAAAAGATATTTGAAAAGGAAATTTCATAAACCACAGTGAATAACAGATTTTACAACTTTTTAAAAAAAGTTATAAAAAATGATTATGTTTTTTAATGCTTTTAACTCATTCACCCCTAAAGACACATTTAAACTCGTCCAATTCAATGGTTGGAATGGTTCATTATGAAATTTCAGGCTGAATGAGTTAAAGAACAACTAATTTCTATGTCATCACACAAATTTGATTTCCCCACATCAGAGTATGTGTTTGTCACGTCGATTCAGCAATGTGAGCCCATGTTAATGATGATGATGATAAAAGTAGTGAAGTTTGAGGTGAGAGTTGGAGTACCTGCCTTACGTAGAGTTCTGATGCACTAATAGAAAAGGGCATGTTCTCCCTTTCATGTTCAAATGTGTGATTTACTAATTAATTTGTAGCAGCTGATGTCGTTATTAAGTCATTTACCTACACGTCATTACCGTTTAATTACAGTAAAAGTTCTATAGCCGTCAGATAGCCTTTAACCCAGCCACACTTCTGTATTTCTTTTTTCTTACAGATAAGAGATTAACTGTTAGAAACCTGCATTTCTTACCAGAAAAACAACATAACTTTGTTTTTTAATTTGTACCTGGATTGACAAATTTAGGAACAATGATCGGCTGTAAATGTCAACCTATAAGAGAACCACAAACATGTTTACACAACTCAGTCCTATTCAGACCTTCTCTAATGATCCTTATTCTCCTTCCCAGAACTGAACTTTTGAATTAACTTTTAGCTTAAGATGGATGAAAATGTACCCTAATTGGTAGGTGGTAACAAAAAATAATGAAGAAAAACAATACAATTTTACCAAACACTCATTATCTGTGGTAAGAAACCAAGGAGAAAAAAAGAGAATGCAAATTTTATCAAAAACTTATTGTCTGGAATAATATTCAAATACATGTTTGTACAACAGTACCTTTTGAAACTATGTTGTTTAGTAGTCATGGTATTTTATTTTGTACATTTCAGAATGGATGATGACGACTACCGCACAGAAAGCGAAGTCGAGTATGACAGTGACCATGAAGACCAGGATGCTGAGCAGGAGCTTGGACAATGGATAGGCCAGCTCGAATCCCTGAAGATGGTATGTAGTATACACCACGTTTTATTCCAAGTTCATATAAATCTTCTACGAAAGGAAACTACACCGTTCGATATCGAAGATTGGGTCATTGACAATTTGCAACGCAAGAATATAATGTTTTGTTTTAAGGTCAACTGCAGAAATTTCATTGCAAGGGCAAGTAACTCCACTCAAGATCAGGAAAATCTGGCTACATTAAATCCATTATATATAGTTTGTATATTTGACCTGTTGCCAACCTGCCAAGTAGCACTTAATTACAATATGTTTTACTTTAGGTGATTTAGTGAGATACCACAATGGTATTCTTTTCAAGGGGGAGGTGAAAATGAATGAAACCAATTTCATCAGTGTGTTAAATAAAACAAGACTGGTATTTTGTTATTTTTTAACATCTTTTCTTGATTGCTCACAAAATATTTTTGGATGGGTTAGGTCAAGGTCAAGTATGACCCTACCCTCTATACTGGTGCCAACAACAGTAATGAGTGGGGGTACCAAATGTGGGATCCATCAAAACTGACTCGCCTCAGTGGAGTTGGCAATCGTATCGAGTAAAAATGTCGGAAGATACTGTACTGTAACGTCCGTATGAAAAATGATCCCATTCATCCTCTCTCACAAACTCTGCTATCTCTGATGCTGCAGCAGGACAGAAGTGCTGTATTTGAGAAATGTAGGGCTTTGTCTTTGAAAAAAACAAGATAAGATTTGTTATTCTCAAAGAATGAATTCGATATACCACCGGTTTTGTATTCTGTGTTTGTCATTGAAGTATGCTAACTGACACAGAGTTACACGAGGAGATGGCCTATATATGTCAATCCATATACAATGTAGGGGATAGCTAGATTTTAAACATTTCTTATACCTCTATTTAGTATTATTTTTCTTTAAAGATGATGTGATATTTTAAGATTCACATGTCCAAAAACTAAGTATACACTGTTTAAATGTAAGGAATAGCTCTATTTGATATTTAGCTAAAAAGATTATGAAAGCCTATCCTATACCAATTAATACAAACTTGATTAGTAAGTGCCAGAAAGTATACCTATTATAATAATTTAAAAGAGAGTATAAATTTGTGAATAGGCCTGTAAGAGTTACTCCCCTTGGTTAAAGATTTACCTTGATAGTGCATATATATATATATAAGTAAAAACTTTCACTGTACAATCTGATACCTATAATACAGCTTTAAACAGTTTATTCCTTGTTACAGTATACATATTAAGATCATTGTATCCCATCTTTTTATTTGATTGTAATTACTTCTACAGTGATATGTAATAGTTTAAGACATATATCATCTCTTATATATATAATAGAGTTAGTAATCCAGCTTGTCTCCAATAAAATGGTTGTAAAATCAGGTGATGTTATAAGTTCTGCTGATCTATATATAGGTAGTGGACAACAATAATAAGGATTACAAGTAATTTGACTCTATTCTATACCTTTCAATATCTAGTTATGTAGCTGAATTACCAATATCTTAGAGGAGATATTTAATCAAGGTTAAGATGACACATATTGTTAAAATCATGAAATTTCTTGATAGTACAATATTTTCCAAACTATATTTTTTGATATAAAAATCTTGATTGACCTCAACATTTTACTCTTGTAGAGATTCTTCTTTAGTACATCAAGGTCAATCCTTATATTTACATTAAAAAAATGTTTAAATGCTACATTACACAGAAAATAAATGTGAAGCGGGTTGCCACGATGGTAACTACGGTAGCCTTGGTTGCTAGGACAATATAGTTCAAGTGAATCTACATCGATATATATGAGTAACTTTAGAAAATATGCAGTGAAAAACGCTATTTGTTTCCTTTCATGGTTTTTAGCTCACCCGGCACGAAGTGCCAAGTGAGCTTATGCCGTGGCGCGGCGTCCGTCGTCCGTCCGTCGTCCGTCCGTCCTCGTCCGTCAACTTTTCCTTTAAACAACTTCTTCTGAAGAACGGACAGGCCTGGAGTCATGATATTTGGCTGAAAGCTTCGTTGGTAGGAGCCCTACAAAGTTTGAGAACGAAAATGACCTTGACCTGTTTTCAAGGTCACAGGGGTCAAATATGTCAAAAACTTCAAACGACTTCTCCTAAAGAACTAAAAGGTATAGAATCTTCATATTTGGCTGATGGCTTCCTGGGATAGAGCCCAACAAAGTTTGAGAATGAAAATGACCTTGACCTACTTTCAAGGTCACAGGGGTCAAATGTGTCAAACACTTCAAACGACTTCTTCTGAAGAACTGAAAGGTATAGAATCTTTATATTTGGCTGGTGGCTTCCTGGGATAGAGACCAACAAAGTTTGAGAATGAAAATTAGTTTGACCTACTTTCAAGGTCACAGGGGTCAAATATGTCAAAAACTTCAAACGACTTCTTCTGAAGAATTAAAAGGTATAGAATCTTCATATTTGGCTGATGGCTTCCTTGGATGGAGCCCAACAAAGTTTGAGAATGAAAATTACCTTGACCTTCTTTCAAGGTCACAGGGGTCAAATGTGTCAAACACTTCAAACGACTTCTTCTGAAGAACTGAAAGGTATATAATCTTTATATTTGGCTGGTGGCTTCCTGGGATAGAGCCCAACAAAGTTTGAGAATGAAAACTAGTTTGACCTACTTTCAAGGTCACAGGGGTCATATATGTCAAAAGCTTCAAATGACTTCTTCTGAAGAACTGAAAGGTATAGAATCTTTATTTTTGATTGATGGCTTCCTTGGATAGAGCCCGACAAAGTTTGAGAATGAAAATGACCTTGACCTTCTTTCAAGGTCACAGGAGTCAAATGTGTCAGACACTTCAAACGACTTCTTCTGAAGAACTGAAAGGTATATAATCTCTATATTTGGCTTGTAGCTTCCTAGGAAAGAGCCGAACAAAGTTTGAGAATGAAAATGACCTTGACCTTCTTTTAAGGTCACATGAGGCAGATATGTCAAACACTTTAAACGACTTCTTCTGAAGAACTGGTAGTTATAAAATCTTAATATTTGGCAGGTGGCTTCCTGGGAAAGAGCCAAACAAAGTTTGCGAATGAAAATGACCTTGACCTACTTTCAAGGTCACAGCGTTCAAATATGTCAAACAGTTCAAACAGCTTCTTCTGAAGAATTAAAAGGCATAAAATTATAATATTTGGCTGGTGACTTCCCGGGATAGAGCTCACCAAAGTTTGCAAATGAAAATGACCTCAACCTACTTTAGAGGTCACAGAGGTCAACAACATTTTAATGGATTTGTTCTTGAGAACTAAAAGGAATGGATTCATAAGATTTGGCTGGTAGCTTTTTGGAATAGAGCTAACCAATTTGAGAAGGAAAATGACATTGACCTACTTACAAGATCACAGGGAAAAATATGTCAAGCAACTTCTGAAGAAGAATCAAAAAGCATAGAATCTTATAATAATATTTTGCTGGTAGTTTCAACAGATGGAGCCAACAAAGTTTGCGAGGGAAATATTTTTAGTGCAATATAATATTTAATGAGAATATTTTGCTATGACTGCTTAAATATTCAGGTGAGCGATACAGGCCCTCTTGGGCCTCTTGTTAATTTTAAATTTAGCAATGTGAGAAGCCCTCCAAACTTTTCTATCCATTTATAACGGTCATCATGTACGCACATTGACACACTGCTTATGGAGTGACACAGTCAGAAGGAAGCCGCCATTGTTGACCTTACCGAAAAAGAAATATGAATGTGCATTCATGGAATAAGAAGTTTGTTGTATAATTATACATAATGGATCCCGAATGTGTTCTATGCATCTAGATGGTGAATGAACCAAGCATTGCTTGTTATTGGACTGTTATCTTACTGAAGCGTGAACGGCACCATATTTGAAACAAGTATCAATCCGTCGAGCCTTTTTTCACTCGTATACGCTAATTTATAAGCAATCAGAGTTTACATTGAAGAAGGGAGACATGTAAATATTTTGATGTAAACAACAATTCAAATACCTTTGTTATAATTACCTACATGTGTACATCTCGGTTATTTGTTAGTATTTTTGACAGATAATCAAACCCTAATTGAAACTCGATCTACAATTTGTATGTAAGTATTACCTATCAGTTAACATCTCAATTATGACGTCTTTGATAAAATCAATAAGACCGAATACAAAGTTGGCAAACTGACTCTGCTCCAGTGGTTGTGGTACAGAGGGAAAAACTGACTCTGCTCCAGTGGTTGTGGTACAGAGGGAAAAACTGACTCTGTTCCAGTGTTTGTGGTACAGAGGGAAAAACTGACTCTGTTCCAGTGGTTGTGGTACAGAGGGAAAAACTGACTCTGTTCCAGTGGTTGTTGTACAGAGGGAAAAACTGACTCTGCTCCAGTGGTTGTGGTACAGAGGGAAAAACTGACTCTGCTCCAGTGGTTGTGGTACAGAGGGAAAAACTGACTCTGCTCCAGTAATTCTGATACAGGGTAAACATTGGCTCTGTCGACCCTATAGTTTTTATCCAGAGGAAAAACTGTCTCTGGTCTAGGTTGTGATGCTTATGGACTTGTAACAATTACCATATGGCCAATACATGAAATAAGAGTCGTCACTTTATTACATTTTCCTTCATTTCTCGATATCAAATGTCTTCTCATGTCATAGCTAATAATATAAGTGTCTGCCAGAATTACAGAGTCAAACATCATCAATCTGGGTTATTTCATTTACAAAATAGATATCAGTCCTAGGACTGACTTCCTAAATTTGATATTACGACCTTGGAGATGCAATTATAGTGGGTAAACAAGATTTAAGAAAAATGTAAATTTCTTGTTTATCATGACATCATCCCTGATGATTACTTACATATCTCAGGGCTAGGATAAATATTATATTCTCTGGCGAGGGCTGAATAATGTATTACCANGGGGGTTAAATTATTTAATCAATTCAACTCTGTATAACTCATGAAAGTAGACAAAATTGATTTATTTGGTCTATTTTTGAAACCTTGATATTATGCATTATTGTACATGTGAGGTTAATATTTTTTGTACAAATGATTCTGAAATAAGCAACTTCCACAAAACTTGTCCCAAATTAGCTCAGCACTTGGGAGAGGACACTTGGGAGAGGACACATGCAATTTTCTACTCATCATGCAATTTGATTAGCTGTGAAAGTCGTGGCATGGCATATAGGGACAGACCCATTCCAATTTGATTTTGAAACCCAGGCAAAAAGGAATAAATACATGTATAGAAATGGAAATAAATTAATATCTTTTCTGTAACTATTGATCACATTAATAGTTTCTTATGATTTTATCAATTAATAGGAGGAGCCTGCTCCACACCAGGTAAACACTATGGACGTGTGTTTGTAAACGTTATGTGTGTGTTGGTGTGTCAGGCATGGTGTGCTTTCCACCGTAACTCATGTTTGCAGTGTAATTCCCCACTAACTTATGAATTCACCCAAATTTTCTTTTCTGTTCTATCTCATTAGGTATTATGATATTATCGTCATGACTTAAGTTGTTACACTTGTATGTCCCTGTGATTTTAAGGATGAGGAACAGGCAGGAAGCACTACCCTTGACCTGTCTCCATGTCCTGTCTTATTGGATGTCTTATACAATGTAGCCCTGTCCCCATTCAGTGTCATTTCTCTGGAAACTTAATTTCTTAACAGATGCTTATCAAATTTTATACAGCAGTCATGTTAACCAATTCCTTGGATAATTTTTATTCATTGAAAACAAAGGCTTTGTTCGAATTTGTTAAAGAAGGAGTGTTTTCCCTTTACTTTAATTTTGACAGATACAAGTGCTTTACCTTATCTAGACAATTCGAAAGTGGCTGTCTTACTGAAGTCTGATGATGCATTTTTCATTGTTTAATATTCAGATTTTTAATATTTGTTAGGTAATTCAGTGTATATAATAGCTTGATTATTGTAGTGTTAGATATACTTCAGGTACAGCTTTAACTGTCCATTACCATGGTAACATAGTAACAATCTATTGTTGTTGATAATACATGTGTACAGTTGATTGAAAGGTGATCTATTTGAATTTCATTCGAGCTCTGCACCTTCAGAATCCTCCAGCTACACTTTAGTCTCACCATCAGCAACAATAAGCAAAATCACATTTCAGAGTTGTCTCCCCTACAGCATGTTGCTTTGTGTACCAATCCAGCCTTCCATTTTCTATCCAATTTCTTATTTGCAGTGATTTTTATCCACTGTTGGAATTTCTCTATGCAGAATGGCTGGTAAATCTAACATTTGCTTACAAATTAAAGATTTTTCAAGGGTTTAGTCCAATTAAGCAACTTTTAATGAGGACGTAGAACTCTTACTAGACAGCGAGGAATTCTATTGTCAAGACTTTAGAGAGTTCGCACTATTTACACGAAAAAACAATCAGTAACCTGTACTCTGTCTACTAATTAATGACTACAGTATTATGTAGGGTTATGTCAACAAGTAACCGGACAATGTCTTTGTTTTCTGAGCTGAATGGACCAGAGGTAGAACAGATATGGCTTGACTCATTATTTTCGGTAGAGATGTGGGATTAATAGAATGATCAATGACTTGGTGCTAGGGGTCAGTGACACACTATAGGTTTGAGGTCAATGACTCAGACCACTGGTATCAAGTGCCAGAGTCAATAAGAAATCTCATCCATAAGTGGCTTATCTGATATCAAATGCATGTAATTGGTTTAATATGTCCTTTTTACAATTAAAGATAAAACTCATCAATATAAATTTTGATGCCAATACCTCAAAAATTGAATAGTTCATTGTCCTTCAGTATAGTGGTATGCGGAATAACTAAAATCTAAAACACTTTTCATTTCATTTTTCATCTTCTGTTTTGATCAAAATCAAGCTGACATATTAAAATTAACTGCTTGTTTCATAAGGTTGTATGTGTGATTTGCCAATTAAAATTGGTTAGTTGATGGTTTCAATAATTTGCAAGATGTTCAATTGTTTGGAGTATTGATGTGGTCCTCAGCCCACCAAAACAGTTCCTTTGTCTGTGTCTGTTCATCATCAGAGTTTCTTTATTTCAATCTGCTCCAGTTAAAGTTTTGGTGCCTCAGCCGGATCCAATAAGACTTATTGTGTCTCAGCCTGATCCAATAAGACTTCTTGTGTCTCAGCCTGCTCTGATAAGTTTTTTTTTATTTCTCAACCTGCTCCAATAAGAGTTGCTATGCCAGTCTGCAGCCATAAAAGTTTGAGGTTGCTTCAGTAACAGTTTCTGTATCACGGCCTGCTCTAAAAAGAGTTTCTATGTCTTAGCCTGCTCTAATAAGAGTTTACATGTCTCAGACAGCTCTAATAAGAGTTTCTATGTCTTAACCTGCTCTAATAAGTGTTTCTATGTCTTAGCCTTGTCTAATAAGGGTTTTAACGTCTCAGCCCTTTCTAATAAGAGTTTTTATGTCTCAGCCTTCTCTTTTAAGAGTTCATATGTTTCAGTTTGCTGACAATAAGTTTTTGTGTCCTAGTCTATATGTAATAAATACTACGGTCCATGTGTTGTTGCATATATGAAACAAAGCTTAAATTCATAACCAAAATAAACTTTCTGGGTGAGTAAGGCCAAAAATGCTGTCATCTGATTATAATTATGAAAAATTATCTGATTTTTGGAAGGTCAGTGACTCATGAATGATGGCAAAATTCCAAAATAATCATACAGAACAATCTCAATTGAGATAAAATGAAAATTGAAACAGCAACATGGCCAGTCTCCAATCTCATCGTTTAGTGTCGATAGATATGAGGTTGGCTAAGCCCGTCACGGATCACTTAACTGTCTTGTATGTTATTCATACTAAGATAATATTCATCCACACCAATCTTCCACATACTTGTAAACTGATGTTTACAATCAGATGACTTTCTGACATCGTATCTGACATTTCATTTTTCAGAGCTCAGTTATCTTACCAAAATATTTTCCACATGAACGTCTTTAGTTGTTCTAAGGGATGTAACTCTTATAGATATTCTGGAATGAAACTTTAATTGATGACAGTATTAGCCATAAACAAGGCCAGTGACCAAGTCATTTCAAGTAATCGACCATCTTAAGGATCCCTGTCCCACTTCTCTGTGGTTTTTCGTATATACAGTAACCTCCCCCTTAATTTCCATTTTAGTATAACTGTCGCACAGTTCGGTTTGTTTCTATTGACAAGGTAGCTCAACTGGTTATAGAGTGATAGTAGAACAGTCCAGTGTTGGAACCTTGGTCTACCCCCGCTGAATTTTTCCACTCAGAAGACGTACTTGTTATCATATTTTGAATTGAGTGAATTGAGGGAAACGTATAAGGAATTCTTAAGAAAAAAATAATTCAGGGACCAGAAAATATGTTGGCGGTAAGTGAGATGGCAAATGAAATGACAGGCATTATATCGAGGTTTTACTGTACATTTGTTTCTGTTGTTATTTGCTCTCTTACAACGTATATCACCAATAGGCGAGCTAGGCTGTTCTCCAACAGCTCTTGTCTAATAAAAGTCTTACAACGTATATCACCAATAGGCGAGCTAGGCTGTTCTCCAACAGCTCTTGTCTAATAAAAGTCTTACAACGTATATCACCAATAGGCGAGCTAGGCTGTTCTCCAACAGCTCTTGTCTAATAAAAGTCTTACAACGTATATCACCAATAGGCGAGCTAGGCTGTTCTCCAACAGCTCTTGTCTAATAAAAGTCTTACAACGTATATCACCAATAGGCGAGCTAGGCTGTTCTCCAACAGCTCTTGTCTAATAAAAGTCTTACAACGTATATCACCAATAGGCGAGCTAGGCTGTTCTCCAACAGCTCTTGTCTAATAAAAGTCTTACAACGTATATCACCAATAGGCGAGCTAGGCTGTTCTCCAACAGCTCTTGTCTAATAAAAGTCTTACAACGTATATCACCAATAGGCGAGCTAGGCTGTTCTCCAACAGCTCTTGTCTAATAAAAGTCTTACAACGTATATCACCAATAGGCGAGCTAGGCTGTTCTCCAACAGCTCTTGTCTAATAAAAGTCTTACAACGTATATCACCAATAGGCGAGCTAGGCTGTTCTCCAACAGCTCTTGTCTAATAAAAGTCTTACAACGTATATCACCAATAGGCGAGCTAGGCTGTTCTCCAACAGCTCTTGTCTAATAAAAGTCTTACAACGTATATCACCAATAGGCGAGCTAGGCTGTTCTCCAACAGCTCTTGTCTAATAAAAGTCTTACAACGTATATCACCAATAGGCGAGCTAGGCTGTTCTCCAACAGCTCTTGTCTAATAAAAGTCTTACAACGTATATCACCAATAGGCGAGCTAGGCTGTTCTCCAACAGCTCTTGTCTAATAAAAGTCTTACAACGTATATCACCAATAGGCGAGCTAGGCTGTTCTCCAACAGCTCTTGTCTAATAAAAGTCTTACAACGTATATCACCAATAGGCGAGCTAGGCTGTTCTCCAACAGCTCTTGTCTAATAAAAGTCTTACAACGTATATCACCAATAGGCGAGCTAGGCTGTTCTCCAACAGCTCTTGTCTAATAAAAGTCTTACAACGTATATCACCAATAGGCGAGCTAGGCTGTTCTCCAACAGCTCTTGTCTAATAAAAGTCTTACAACGTATATCACCAATAGGCGAGCTAGGCTGTTCTCCAACAGCTCTTGTCTAATAAAAGTCTTACAACGTATATCACCAATAGGCGAGCTAGGCTGTTCTCCAACAGCTCTTGTCTAATAAAAGTCTTACAACGTATATCACCAATAGGCGAGCTAGGCTGTTCTCCAACAGCTCTTGTCTAATAAAAGTCTTACAACGTATATCACCAATAGGCGAGCTAGGCTGTTCTCCAACAGCTCTTGTCTAATAAAAGTCTTACAACGTATATCACCAATAGGCGAGCTAGGCTGTTCTCCAACAGCTCTTGTCTAATAAAAGTCTTACAACGTATATCACCAATAGGCGAGCTAGGCTGTTCTCCAACAGCTCTTGTCTAATAAAAGTCTTACAACGTATATCACCAATAGGCGAGCTAGGCTGTTCTCCAACAGCTCTTGTCTAATAAAAGTCTTACAACGTATATCACCAATAGGCGAGCTAGGCTGTTCTCCAACAGCTCTTGTCTAATAAAAGTCTTACAACGTATATCACCAATAGGCGAGCTAGGCTGTTCTCCAACAGCTCTTGTCTAATAAAAGTCTTACAACGTATATCACCAATAGGCGAGCTAGGCTGTTCTCCAACAGCTCTTGTCTAATAAAAGTCTTACAACGTATATCACCAATAGGCGAGCTAGGCTGTTCTCCAACAGCTCT